ATGTACATGTTATAAATAAAGGATTTATTTTATGTTGTAAATCCCTTGTTCACATTTAAACAGGACATAATAGTATTAGAGTAGGTTGGACACTAGGTGGTGCCTTGAGGTAATTTTCACTATGCAATTGTCTACACAACGCAAGGCTGTCTAATTCTAAAAGTTAAAATATACATTTTTTATTTATTTTAATTGCACATTTAAATTAAACTGAAGGAAATTATAAATTTAAATGCTTAAGGATTATTTCAACCAAACATGAAGTGTGCCTGTGTGGAAAGTGACTGTGCATGGTCCTTCTTGGGTCTTTCACAAAAACGAGTGAGCGCAATTTAAAAAAGTTAAAATAGACCGTATATAATATGCACTGTTGCGTAGTATTAAAATTATAGCTTCAGATGCATGATATCTGTAGGGCCCTATGAAATCCGTTTTATTTTTCCCAAATTAGCCTAAGTTTAATTTTTTTCAGTTTTTATTTTTCGTTTTAATTTTTCTGGATGATTATATTAAATTTGAACAAAAAACATGTATAATTAATTAAAATCATGAAACTTTTAACAGCAGTTTAGGCCTATTAAAAGTTTAACAAAAATTACATTCTTAGGGCCCAAATTCTGCGCTTTCCATTTTAATTTTTCTGTATTCCATTTTAATGGTTTAATCAAAAATATATCTAATTAATTGAATTCATGAAAACAATCTGATAGACTGCAACGGTTGGACTTAAAAATCATCAAATGTGTTCTACTGAAGAAACAAAGTCACCTACATCTTGGATGCCCTGGGGGTAAGCAGATAAACATCAAATTTTCATTTTTGGGTGAACTATCCCTTTAAAAGATTTAACAAGTTGTGTTTATTAAGAGTGAAGAACATATAAAATGAACATTTAGAATATTTATCAAACATTTTACATTACATAAAAAAATGAAACAGTATTTAAAATATAACACTAGAAACAGACAGTATACTTTCATTCCTGACTTATAAACCTTTACCATATTTCTCGCAGAGTAACTATATTCCTTACATTTCCTTACTGTAGTAAAATCATGGTAAATAATCATAGTTTCATCAACCTAGCCTACTATTCAGCTGAAAATCATGTTTCTGTTTGGCATTTTTTATAGTATACATGAAACCATCTTCTGCTTAGTACCTTCACACCAGTATCTCTTTTGTAAGAATTTACATATTACATTGCATACAATTGCACTCCATGGATTATTCAAAATATATTTTTTTCTAAATATTATATTCATTTTCAAAATGTAAGTTTTTAATAAAAAGACTGATAGATTGTAGATGGGGTTTTGAGGAAGAATGGGCAGCTGGTATATTAATATAAAAGCTTGGTACTGTAACTGAACCATCTGCACGCAGAATTAAAATTAGAGATGTTAAATGGGCCTGAATAAACCCACAAACATTCTAGTTAACTAATTTACATGTGTCCATATGGACTGTAGTGAGGATAACTACAACAACGCAATTAAAATTAAAGTTGAAGGTGTCATTTGAGTTGTGCAATGAGCTGAGGAAAACTCCATTGTGTCAGAGTAGATGAGTGAAAGTACAGAGCATGACATTCCAGAGTTTATGGCCAAGCAAATGACTTTTTCTAAAATCATCGCTAGTAACTGTTTAACTGATCTTTGTAGAAAAGTGTCTATGATTGGACTTTTTGTACAGAAGTTTCTAGTGGACTGAATAATACAAATCATGACATCTAGTGGTCAAGAACCATAAACTAGGGGTTTTAAAGCAACCATAATTATTATTATTATTATTATTTTGCTTTTAAATATCAGTTTCAAAATCATTCTGATGGTTCACTGACATTTAATAAGCCGAATGACTTGTTTCTTTCCCAAACGTCTGTTCTGGGAGTTTGTAAATTTGGTGAGTGCTTACGAAATTCCGCAAAAAGGGTGAATTGCTTTATGCCACCAACAAATGAGCACATACAGCTATTACCACAGTGATATATTTACAACAGTGAATTCCACTCACTTAACTGTAAGGGGCTCAAAAGTCGCAAAAATAAACAAAACTATATACAGTTTCGTGTGCTACAGCAGTATTGCAGTTGGTCAGTTATTATTTTATCTTAAGCTAATAAAAAAAATGATAGTATGTGTTTAAAACAATACAAAATGTACTAAATATTTTGCACAGCTGAAGAAGAAGAAACACATTTTCAGGTAAATGTTTCTTTTTCCCAAACCACAATAAAATGTATTCAGTAAAATTAAAATATAATGCACAAGTATTTAACTTTGTACATTAATAGTATATTATTAACTATTGAATATAGCATTGTAATAAAGTATGTTTGACACTAGTATTGTACTATACATTTGTTTTATTTTATTTATATGGAATTTCAGTCATCTGTCCCACTATATGTATAAAGCTTGGCATTTTACAAAATAATGATTTTTTTTAAAGCCCTACACTCTTAAAAATAAAGGGTGTTTTTGTAATGTTGCAATAGAAGAATCATTTTTGATAATTTTCTCTATAGACGTTAAAGGTTCTTCATGGAACTATAGATGCCAATTAAGAACCTTTTAGGAGTGTAAAATTGTAAGCTTTTCTTCAAACACCTATGTATTTGTACAGCCTTACCTTAAAATCATGATCCAGGCTGTTACACAGCACCTGCCAGGGAGGAGTGTACTTGAACATGGTGTTTGCTGCAGTACTACCTGCTTTTTAGAGTTTGACAGGAAGACACTACTAGTGCATGCAGTTAACTCAATCCTGATGAGTCCAGTCTGTGGACGAAGATTCATTAATGAGAAAATGTTTTTTCATGTTCCATAATATACCATGAATCAAATATACCAATACACTAGCATGTGTCAGATATAAGATATTTTTCCTCATTTGGAATGACTCACCTCATCTTTTGCAGGCGCATGGATACAGCGAGACCATTGTGTCTAACAGCGCTGAAAAATACAGTGAAAGCAGGGTCCGGCCCACCCCATCAGTACTGCTGCAGGTGTCAGTCTAGTTTTTAGTCAGTCTTCATCCACTACCCATAAAAATTGTGTTTTGACACAATTGCTCTGGTAAAGCTCCTCCTCCAATATGGCCAAAAAGTGAGGTATCACATTAAGCAAAAATTCCCATAATGTGTGCGGGGTGACCTGGCCCATGGTCAAAGATTCAGTGCATGCATGCGTGTATAGGTGTGTGTGTCGATGAGTGTGCTGAGGGCAGGGATACCAGTCTGGAATGCTGCTATAATCAGCAACCTTGGGACAAAAGCTGAGAATACCTCTCTACTATCCCATAATGCACCTCATAGTTGCTCTGAAGCCTGGTCATTTAGTCATCGACAATGGCAGTGACAATATAGCTGTGACTCTCAGATAGCTCTGAATGGCAACAGTGGCATTAAATCAAGATTTTTTCCCCCTTACTTCTCTACTTTGTCCTCTAAAAATCTACTGGTTTGTGTCAGTTGTTGATTCAGTAACCAGTTTGATGATTTGTCAGACTGATTTAAACTGACAGCTGAGGGGTTTTTTTAACTATTCATTAAAGGAATAGACTGATAATAGCCATTTGTTCAGAAATCAAAGTACACATCTCATGCTGCATGTTTTCGATTCACTAAAAATCATGTGAGTCATGAGTTCGTGAATCAGACTACACTGGTCACACTGTATGTTTTTGATTCACTTAAAAGAACTGGCTCATAAGAGTCATTTGTTAGTGAATCTGACTATACTGGTTGTGCTGTACGTTTCTGATTCACTTAAAAGAACTGGCTCATAAGAGTCATTTGTTAGTGAATCTGACTATACTGGTTGTGCTGTACGTTTCTGATTCACTTAAAAGAGCTGGCTCATAAGAGTAATTTGTTAGTGAATCTGACTTTACTGGTTGCGCTGTACGTTTCTGATTCAATAAAAAGAACTGGCTCATAAGAGTCATTTGTTAGTGAATCTGACTATACTGGTTGTGCTGTACGTTTCTGATTCACTTAAAAGAGCTGGCTCATAAGAGTAATTTGTTAGTGAATCTGACTTTACTGGTTGCGCTGTACGTTTCTGATTCAATAAAAAGAACTGGCTCATAAGAGTCATTTGTTAGTGAATCTGACTATACTGGTTGTGCTGTACGTTTCTGATTCACTTAAAAAACAGACTCATAAGAGTAATTTGCTTGTGAATCATACTACACTGGCCATTCTGTATGTTGTTTTTACATGCTTTTATCCAAAGGGACTTACAAATGAGGAACATCACAAGCAATTTGTCAGAGAGCCAATAGTATGTATAGTATACAATGCCAGGTTTAGTAGAAAACTAGTGGCTGTGCTGTACATTTCTGATTCACTTAAAAGAACTGGCTCATAAGAGTCATTTGTTAGTGAATCTTGACTATACTGGTTGTGCTGTACGTTTCTGATTCACTTAAAAAACAGACTCATAAGAGTAATTTGATTGTGAATCATACTTCACTGGCCATTCTGTATGTTGTTTTTACATACTTTTATCCAAAGGGACTTACAAATGAGGAACATCACAAGCAATTTGTCAGAGAGCCAATAGTATGTATAGTATACAATGCCAGGTTTAGTAGAAAACTAGTTTGTGCGCGCACCCTGTGAGGACAACTCAACAGAAAGCCGTTTCTTGCCATTATTTCACTCTGCATGATATTTTTATTGCATCTCATTCAATACAGACTGCAAACTCATGTTGACAAAATGAATCTGTTGTTGTGGTGTTGAAGTTTGCACCAAAAATGCAGAGCAGGAAATAGATCATAAGCAGCACATTTTCTGTTATTAAAGAAAACAAGACAGAGGCAGTGATTTCCGTAAAGCACGTCACATTTTAATGTCTCGTTCCAACTCTTTCTACAGCTCTGTCAGGTTGATAAGAAAGCAGACCTTCACAACGCACAGACAACAGTGGCAGTAAGAGCACACACACTCATTATCAGGAGAACCAATACGAGAGGAACCTGGTTATATGTCCCTGCATTCTCCTCTGTTCTATCATGCCTTTGAACTCAGCTTGTCATCAAGGGTTAGGGGTTCAAGCACAGGGACATTATCTAACATGGAAATGGATATGTAGATATGTGTGATTTATGTACTTATAAAAGCATGCAACTATACAAAAGAGAAATGCCAGGCCCGTGGCCAGACAACAAGGCATTCAGGGGTGAGGAACATGTTGGAACTGGAATGTTAGTACTGACAGACAGTAAGGTGAGTGGCAAAAGTGTGAGGCAACCATTAAACTCAGTGATGCAAAGACTTTAAAGGAAGCTGCCCAGATGAGCAATGGGAGGAAAGCAAACTGGTTCTTAAACTATGAATTATAACCTCACTGATGCTGCTTTACATCCAAATAGTGTGTACATGGATAAGTGAATGTATGGAAGCATGATGGAACACGATAAACGAAAAAGAACTGGCTCATAAGAGTCATTTGTTAGTGAATCTGACTATACTGGTTGTGCTGTACGTTTCTGATTCACTTAAAAAACAGACTCATAAGAGTAATTTGATTGTGAATCATACTTCACTGGCCATTCTGTATGTTGTTTTTACATGCTTTTATCCAAAGGGACTTACAAATGAGGAACATCACAAGCAATTTGTCAGAGAGCCAATAGTATGTATAGTATACAATGCCAGGTTTAGTAGAAAACTAGTGGCTGTGCTGTACATTTCTGATTCACTTAAAAGAACTGGCTCATAAGAGTCATTTGTTAGTGAATCTGACTATACTGGTTGTGCTGTACGTTTCTGATTCACTTAAAAAACAGACTCATAAGAGTAATTTGCTTGTGAATCATACTACACTGGCCATTCTGTATGTTGTTTTTACATACTTTTATCCAAAGGGACTTACAAATGAGGAACATCACAAGCAATTTGTCAGAGAGCCAATAGTATGTATAGTATACAATGCCAGGTTTAGTAGAAAACTAGTTTGTGCGCGCACCCTGTGAGGACAACTCAACAGAAAGCCGTTTCTTGCCATTATTTCACTCTGCATGATATTTTTATTGCATCTCATTCAATACAGACTGCAAACTCATGTTGACAAAATGAATCTGTTGTTGTGGTGTTGAAGTTTGCACCAAAAATGCAGAGCAGGAAATAGATCATAAGCAGCACATTTTCTGTTATTAAAGAAAACAAGACAGAGGCAGTGATTTCCGTAAAGCACGTCACATTTTAATGTCTCGTTCCAACTCTTTCTACAGCTCTGTCAGGTTGATAAGAAAGCAGACCTTCACAACGCACAGACAACAGTGGCAGTAAGAGCACACACACTCATTATCAGGAGAACCAATACGAGAGGAACCTGGTTATATGTCCCTGCATTCTCCTCTGTTCTATCATGCCTTTGAACTCAGCTTGTCATCAAGGGTTAGGGGTTCAAGCACAGGGACATTATCTAACATGGAAATGGATATGTAGATATGTGTGATTTATGTACTTATAAAAGCATGCAACTATACAAAAGAGAAATGCCAGGCCCGTGGCCAGACAACAAGGCATTCAGGGGTGAGGAACATGTTGGAACTGGAATGTTAGTACTGACAGACAGTAAGGTGAGTGGCAAAAGTGTGAGGCAACCATTAAACTCAGTGATGCAAAGACTTTAAAGGAAGCTGCCCAGATGAGCAATGGGAGGAAAGCAAACTGGTTCTTGAACTATGAATTATAACCTCACTGATGCTGCTTTACATCCAAATAGTGTGTACATGGATAAGTGAATGTATGGAAGCATGATGGAACACGATAAACGAAAAGGGTTTTTTTACATTCATGTTGACCTCATTTGACTCCCGGACTTCTGAATACACACAGACACTGATTTCCACAGAGTTCATCCCAGCAATTTGGGCAACTAATGTGACTAAAATATGAGAGATATATGACATATTAACCAACATAAATCATGAATACGACCACACAGACACAAAACACACACACATTTCATCTAGCAGACCTCTACCAGCTAGCCGTGCCACGTAATTTCGTTCTCCTAAAATTAGTTAATAATTTGCCATCAAATTAAATTGATTAAGCAAGCAATTTATAAGTAAGGTACAAAACAATTTTAACATTCATTAACAAACCCTCCAATGTAACATAAAGGTGCATTTAGTAGTTTGGTGCTAATTAAAGTTTTACACATAAATTGTGTTTTTAAAGAGTCTGAATGGTGTAAACTCACATGAGATGAAGACTGTACTCATAAAAGATTTCTATAAAAAGTGTTTGTTATCTTATGTTGTGTATTGTTCCCACCAAAATGTATTTTGGCCTGCTGAAATGACATGAGCCGCAGTGTTTCATTAAGTTTCACAGCCGCTGTAGAGGCACTATAATGTAGAGTTGTTTGGTGATGCAAAGAGCGAGAATCAGAACATTGTGCTTTACCAGCGGCAGCAATGTTAGAATCAGTACCTGTATGTAGTCATCAGAGAAAATAAGCTTTTCGAAACAGAATTGAGTGAACCAACTGATTCGCAAAATGATTCAATTTCAAATCTCATAAAAGTGCTGGTCAAAGTAGTGTAAATGCAATGCGAACACAGCCGAAACGTGCATAAAGACGCCTTTTACAAACAAATTACAACCGCTTTAATTACTGAAATATCATTTAATATGAAAGATCTGTGTAATTTATTATAATTCTGTATGCTTGTTTTAGGCAGGATTTGGCTATTTAGTCCAATTAGAAATAATTAACTATCATCCTATTTTTTCATTATATACGCAAGGTAATTAAAATTCGTTAAAAATGAGCCTACATTATAAACCTGACCCTAGACACTGGTTAATGTGCTCCAGATCAGAATTTCAAATGTTTTAAAGCAAAGGTTTGATGTAATGAAGCCAGTTTCATACGTTCATCAAGCAATGTTTGAAAAGCTCCCATAACTACCTATAGCATACGGCCAAAGAAGCAGAAGAAATGGTCTGAAGCCCAAAGACAAAGACAAAAAAACAGCCATAAATATCAGTACGGCAAGATTTGACGAGGGAGAAAAATCCTAAGTAGCGATGCAGGAG